AAACAGTCTTCGAGCGCTGACACTGCTGTTTGTGGTTCTGTTTTCTGAGGATCAGAAAAGCAACTACTGAAATCAGTTCGGCTTCTTAGCATACGGAACTCACTGGAACGAATCAACAAAACACGAGATTTTTCACTTCTGTATGTGAACAGAACAGGCGCAAGACGCACTGGCAGATTTTCTGTAAATGATTTGAAGAAAGCCTGAACATTCCGAATCAGAGGAATGTAAATCATCTGCATGCTTCTCATTAACAGTTGAATAAGTTGTTACTGTTGTTATGAGACGGTGTGACAGCAGTAGTGGTGGTTGTGTTGTGTTGCAGAGCGTAGTAGTCGGTTAACGGGATCCGAGTCATCGAGTTGGCGATTGTCGTTGTCGCGCTCTACTCGCTTCGATGTTCACGACTTGCGGGGTAAGACCGCTGCTGCTACTACTTCCCGATTTTTCGCCCTTCAGAATACTGTTATGATGGTTTGCATGGTTATTGCTTTTGTTTATGCTGTTGTTGTCGTGGTTTGTAAGTGCATCGGAGAGTATTTTTTTTAAAGAAACAAGTTTCGCTGCATGTAATTCTGTAAGCACAAAGTTACAGGGGTTGATGTGGGTGACGCTTTTGAAGGTGTGCTGGTAAGGAAGCACACTTATGAAGCATTGGATCGAAAAGCATCAAGCAGGTAACTCGTTCACTTGCTTACTTTGATCAACTATTAATTTGCGTACCTTCGCACGATTCTTGTTTTTGAAATGATATCAGTTGACGGCCAAGTTTTTAAGACCCTAATTTTCCCTCGTTCGGTCTTTGCTTTTGTTTGTTCTGCTGGCAGCTCCTAAAACTCGGCTGGACCCGGCTGAGCCGCACAATATGCACTCAATTTCGAGATCGGCTACAAGCTTCGAAGGTCGTGGTACAAGGGCTTTTTGTGTAGGTAATAACCTAGGTGTCGCATTCAAGATTGCTATTACTTCCTCTCAGCATCAGTTTTCAGGCTGAACATAAAAAACCCACATTAGACACCCCTCCCCATAAATTCGGCCCCCTCTTCAATTCCTATCTGCAAGCGGAGTCTCAGCTCCTTTGTAGTCAATAACCCTGCCCCTTCCCTTCCCTTATTGCTCCCAAGACCTAAACCACCACCATCTGCTGCTCCCAACACTCATCCATCCGCTTTCAGCCTTCCTCTTGTAGTCATTGCAGCCCGTCTCTCGATATTGCTTTATAAAGCCGATACATTGAGTTTTAAGTAGTTGCCTGTTCTCCGCTTGCTTACCACACGTGTAACTGATTTTTCAAGAGGCTTTTGCCCATAGAAAGAAGTGTGGCGAAGATTAATTGTAAGTGGATTTTGAAAGGCTCTGGAACCCTTTTTGGAAAAAATCCGAAGTCAGCTTTGGTAGCAATTACACAGCTGATGATAGTTTATATGTGTGTATACCAACCAAAGAGATGACTGATTGAATTTTTTCGCCTTTCTTTCATTTACACAATGCAAAAAACGCATGTTGCCGAGCGGTTATCTGTGTGCATATTATCTTTTTAAGTACATATGTGTCATTGTATTTGACCGTTTCCGTCCGAGAATCACAACTTCGACACCTAGGAGAGCTATAATGTCGCAGTTAAATCAATACCTATGTAAGAGTTTTTAGGCATGGAATGAGCATTCACATTCTTTTAATTCTCACGCACGGGCAAATGAAAGATTTTTTTTGGCGTGAAAGCGGTTTTGGGAACCGGGCAAGTTAGAGAGCTGAAACTTTACGATGGTGTGCCTTTCCCACGTGTGACCCAAAGGGTTTAACTTCAGCCTTCACGCACCCCATATTCACACTTCAGATTTCTTTGACATCGTGCCAGCATGAATATTAGGCTGCTTAGAAAGCTGGTTGGAGCTATAATTTTAATATGCCATTTGCTACCCACTTATATACAAGGTTGATCTTTTGCACCGCTCTGCATCTGACGTACGGGCACCTTTAATTTGACGCGAACTTTTTTGTATCTCCACAACCAAAGCAGCTAGAGGGCTGAAATTTCTGAGTATAGTCACGATCATATTTGTTGAGAATAGCTGTGATAATTTTCACGTCATGGGAGCCATTCTCATTTCGATTAGGTCTAGAGATAAACACCGGAAAAAACAGTGCTTTTAAGCTATAGACATTTGCGGGAGAAACTGCAAAAAGGCATGCTCACACCGGTAAGCTGGTACATCGCTGCCTGGTCTTTCGGTTCAGTAATTGTTGTTGTAGGTCGTGGGAAAAAGTGTACGC